CCCCCCCCACGCCGGGTGCCCCCGGGAACGGCCAGCCTCTCCACCCTGGCTGGGCACACACCAGCACCCAGCCACCATCACTGGGGCTGGGGCAGTGGGGAGCCAGAGGTGCCAGGGGCACGGTGGAGGGAAGGAAGAGGCTCCCTCACCCACCAAAACCGCGGGGCACAGTCCGGCCACGTGGCAGCCGCGAAGGCAGCGCCCAGGTCCCCCCACCCCAGTAGCTCAGACATTGGGAGACGTGGAGAGTTAGTTATTATGAAAGGCTGTACTGAATAGCTCGCTGCTCAATACATCAGTCCTACATTTAAGATGAATCAAGGGGACAGCAAACACTGGTATTTCTTCTGTTCTTCATCATAGAGCAGTGGCAATTTAACTGTACAAACTAAGGCAATCACAGCCTAAATAAACTTGCTCTGTCCTTCACTTGCCACTTACAGAGGCGATTTTCCCAGTAATTTCCACGAGGCAGGTAGCAAGTTGAAGTCGCCCGTTAGGAAAGCAGGGTTGCTGTAGAAAGGCTGCTTGCAGAAAGGTGGCTGCGAGCACCCCCTCCACGGGCAGGAAAGGCTGGGGAAGGCACCAGTGATGCTCGATCAGAGGGCTGGGCTGCTTCTGCAGCCTTCCCCATCACGGGGGCCTGCGGCACCACTGCCTCCCCCAGGGCTGTCCCAGGCAGCAGCAGCAGTGGCAGCAGCAGCAAGCTCCCAGCCTGTAGTCCTGGGAGACATGGTGGGGCACAGGGGAAGTGCGGGGGGACACATGGGGCATCCGCCCCAGCAGATGGGGTCAGGACCTGCCAAGGCAACACGGGGCCCCTGTTGCATCAGCCCCCCACCCTGCAGCACCCCAGCCCCTACCTGCTCTGTGGGGCAGCCCCTCACTGCAGCCCCCCTGGGGCTGCTCTGCTTTGCCATGGGGAGGGTGAGGGGAGGCAGGGCGTGAGCCCAGGAGGCCCCTCAGGCAAGGGCTGAGCTCCCCACAGCCCCTCGCTGTGGGGAAGCACCCTGCCAGAAGAAGGTGGGCAAGGATGGACTTCTGGGACACAGGCTGGGAGGGCCCATGGTGCCAACTGCCACCACCCAAGGTAAGGCTGTCCACAGCCATTGCAGGAGTGTGGCCATAACCCACCATCGCTGCATTGCAGTGCCAGGACACCCCTGCAAGTCTCCCCACGCAGCTGAGCATCATGAGAGTGAGACCTGGCGCTGTGCTGCTCCCCAGGATGTCTCCAGTCAGGCTGGGGGCAGCTGTGACCCTCCACCTGCCACCACAGCACCGGTCACAGTGAGCTGAAGAGCTGGGTGCTGGTGGGCACAGAGCATGACCTGGCTTTCACTTGCTTCCCAGTGAGAGCTGCCGTCTGGGACACTGTGGCTGCCTAGGTTCAACAGCAGCTCCTGCTGCACAAGGTGGGCTTGCACCCTCCACCCCCTCTCTGCCCTGCGGGGCTCAGGAGTCGCTCCTGGGCCAGGGACTGCCATTACTCTTCCCCTCCCTCCGGGCCAAGGGAGAAATAAGCCTTGCACAGGTGTGGTCCCTAGCCCAGTCGCTGGAAACCCCTTGGATGCCCTGGGGCTGACAATGCTGCTTCTGCCCTGGCTCCAGCACAGCTGTTATGGAGAGTGCGAGGGCTTGGCAGCTCCTCTGCAAAACTCTGGCAGGGCAGCTTTGGTGCTTTCCCTCCAGCCAGTCCTCACCTTTCTGTCTTTCTGTTTCATCTGCTTGCAGGATGTCTGAATTCCCACCCTCAGCTCCTTCGACACCGTCCCTGAACAAGTCCAGGTTGGGGACAGTGACCTGACTGTGCAGAGACTTGTTTCTGCCCAGCCAGGAACCTCGCTGACATCCACTGCCTGACAGATGACAAGGTCCTCCAGGTAAAAACCTCACCACCCTGGCCCCTGCAGAGAGTACAGGCTCCCCTGCTGTGTGGACGGGGTGACTGGACATTCCTATCCCACCCCCAGGTTGGAGAGTGTCTCATGCTTCTCAAAAGCAAACCACCTGCCATGGAGCAGGTCCAAAAATGGGTCCTTTGTGTGCAATGGGTGGAACAGCCAACAGTCCTGAAAAACTGCCTGGAGGGAGACAGGGCCCTGCGACCTTCTCCACTGCTGGCTCAAGCCACAGTTGAAAGCCACATTGCCTGTAGGGATGCATCACCCAAGAGCCTTGGGGCTGCTGGCACTCAATGACAGCCTGCTGACAGGCAGCTGCAATAACGGACCCCCGTCCTACTCATGGTGTTTTCCAGGTGGCAAAGTACTGGTGCCCCTGTGGTACACGCAGATAGCTGCGGCCACCTTTGTGTCGCTGAAGAGAGTGGTAGGGTGCATCCAGGACACCATGTCCCTCTTCTCCCACTGCATCGGCAAGGGAAAGACCAGTGTGCTCATCCTGAGGGATGCAGGCATGCTCCTCATTGAACACACAAGAGTGCAAATTAAATACTACCATGACTTTCTGAACATGATGACTGGGAAGGACATCCTGGAAGAAGCTCTGCTGAGGGTAAGCATTTTGTTTCTTCTCTGCTGCACCTCACCCATTGAAATCCCACTGCAGCACTTCTGCCAGCACCACTCGCTTTAGGCCAGCTGTGACCTGGGCAGCCCCTTGGGCTGGATGGGACCTCCAATCCCACAAGCTCTCGCTCTGCCAGGCTCTTGCAACATTCAGTGCCTCGGCCACACCAGGGGTGCCCCAAAGCCCGAGCTTTCAGCTCAGCAAGAACCAGTCCCTACTCAAGCACCCTGATTGCTGCCCTCACAAAAAAGCTGGGTGGTTTACAAAGTGGCATCACGTCTTTGCTGGGCGGCACTTGCTCGTTAGCAGTGTGGGCTAATGGGGATGAGAGAGAGCACCTGTGAGGGTTTCGGAGAGGCGGTGTCACCGCGTGGCAGTGGGCAGCCAGCTGCCTTGGTGAGCACAGAGGTCACCTCCCCGGCATCGCCTCCCCCAGCCCTGTGCTCCTCTGCTGCAGGTCCCAGGGGTGCTGGACTTGGTGATACCTCGCACAGCAACCACAGCTTCCCTGAGCCACTCTGGCTGCATCGTCGTCTTTCCAGAGTATGTGCGTGCCCGTAGCCCTCGGCTGACCTAGCTGGCGGCTGCTCAGGTCCGATCTGGCAGTGCTGGGCTGCCAGGGCTTGCCTGCACAGGCAGACACTGGGGACTGCCACCTTCAAAGCAGTTGTTCCCAGTACCCTCCTTGACTGCTCTTGCAACTACGTGTGGTGTCACACAAGGCCCACAGGAGAGGGGCTGTCGGCTGTGTCCCTGCCACTCAGTCATGCCGTTAGGCAGGATTCATGGGCCATGCAGAGGAATTCAGTCTTTCCACCATGGCCTGGGCTGCTCTGTGGGGTAACGATGTTTCCCAGTGTCCTGGGGGTACAGTGTGCTCTGCTTTGGAAACTGATGGCCTTCACAGCACAGCCAAAATGGCTCTGTTGAGTGCTGCACCCTTCAAAGGGGCTGTGGTGCCTTGGGACATGCTGGTGTCTTCTCCTTGCACCCAGGTTTGAACTGGAGCATGTCCATAAACCACTGCCCAGGGACGCCCGCAAGGGCCCAAGGAAGCCCAGTGATGAAGGCAGGCAAAAGAAAGAAGAGCCTCTGCCACCCCCCAGGCGGGAGGAGGAAGGTAAGGCATCAGCTGGCTCCTTTCCACAGCGCAGGGAACTGACAGGTGCCTATCTGATGAGGAAAATCCCCGGCAGTGATTGCAGAAAGGCTCCTCGTCTGATCTGCAGCATCCTGGCCGGAGAATAAGGGTGTGCCACGGAAATGCTGAGCTGGGCAAGAGCCAGTGCCAGGGAAGGCCCGAAAAATCCCAGAAACTGTGGCTGCAGGAGGACCCAAGGGCCCCCCACATTGCTGGGGCGGGCAGCATCAGGGCAATGCTCTCCTGCTGAGCTTTCTCCTTCCTGAGGCCAGAGACCCAGCCTGAACCATGCCTCCTCGGGCTGGCAGAGCCTTTCTCCAGCCAGATGCCCTGAGCCCTGGGCAAAGGTAACGACGGGGCAGAGGAACAAGCCCGTGAGCAGCTCAGGCATGTGCCAAATGGCAGGAGGGGACGCCATGCTCTTTTGCTCATGTTAGGGAGCCGTCTCCCTTGGCCCCAGAGCCAGCATCCCTCTGGCAAGCTGTTACTGACACAAGTGATGGCAGGTGTGCCGCAGGTTGGCTTCCCCTCCCTCCGTGATGGAATGCCGCAGGTTGGCTTCCCCTCCCTCCGTGATGGAATAAAAGCTCATCCTCGTCCCTCGTGGCTGATTCCTTATTGGCTGGCATTGTGTTTCACACCGGTCCTTTTAGTCCCTGCCCTGCTGCTGTGATAGGCCAGGTTCACCTTTGTGCCAGCAGCAAATATCGATCACAGGCTCCTTTTTGCATCACAGCCAGAAAGAAAAATGTTCAAGCAGCTCAGCCGCACGCTCAATCCGCCAGGAAGCGGCTGGTACCCGTGGTCAGCCCCTCAGCCACCGCCCGGCGCCGGGCGGTGTGG